GTCAAAGACCAGGTCATCCACGAAAGACAACAACAACTGATGTCAGAAAGGTTTGGATCTGTGAAGAAAAACAATTTCCAGAGTGCAGGGCTTAAAATATTGCAACTTACTGTGCACCTAACCTGAATCCCATTGTGGATTCACTATACTTGTTGAAGAGAAAACTAAATTCCGCAAACAGACAACGACTACAAATGGCTAACGCTTGGCAAACCATTTAAAGGGAACATATCAAGAATGTGGTGATGCCAACGGGTTGCAGAGTTATTGCATGTAAGCTTTATGCAATCAAATACTGACTTAACACCAATTTAATCTACTTTAATTTGTTGCAATACTTATAATGACCTGCAAATGGGGTGTGAATGAACACCAAATCATTTTTGTTCTAATATGGTTTAACACACATGCACAAAAATATCTAGTATTAATTACTGTAATAACACATTGTTAGAATGTTCTACATTCTGTATATATAAATGTTAAATTAACATAACTGATTGCTCTCCACCACCTCTGGATCCAGTGTAACAGGTCTGAAACATATGTAATCAAATTATTACAAACATGATTTAATCTGATCAAGACAACACACCTTCAAATTATACCTAATTGCATTTCAAAGAGAAAACACTCTTATTAATTTTTAAACACTCAAATTAATTTTTAACTAGGCATGGCATAACATGCCAAAACAACAAAAACGACTTCACCAAGATGCCAATGTTTAAAGAGGAAAATATATTGAAGGTTGTCTTCAATCACTTGAACAGTTCTAGATATATATGAGCCTTAAAATCCACCCATTTCCTAACCGTTTTTTCCAATAAAGAGTCATGGGGGATGCTGCAGCTTAACCTGGCAAGCTGAGCAAAAGGCAGGATACACCCTGTATGGGATGTTAGTCCATCACAAGGCACACACACTGACACAACTGCCAGAAGCCAATTAACCTAACAGTATGTATTTGGAATGTGTGAGAAACCCCACATGAATACACAACTCCATGCAGATAAAACCCTCAGAATTGAACCCAGGACCCCACCTTTGCGAGGCAGCAATACTAACCATGCTGTCCAAGCCTTAACCTGTCCTCTATTATATTCGAAAAAGGGGAGTTTCCTTAATGCATACAGCATCACAACAATAAACATATAAATATTCCACATTAAAGGGGTTTAAGTGTACTAAAACAAAAACACTAAAAACATTTCACAGACAAAAACTATAATATTCTTAAAATGTGCCTTTATTAAAGTTGAAAAAAATATAATCACTTTATGTTTTATAAATACATTCAAACCCTCAGCTTAAATTAATGGGGGGAGGTTTGTCCAATAAATCACAAAATAACATTTTTTTCAGCCCCCCAAACACTAAAGCACTGTATAATCATTTCTGGATATTCTGACTTAAATTTTAACAAATTAAATCATCACAATGAATGAGAATTTGTATCGTTGATATACAAGGTCTTTATTTCATGTGTCTCAAATATACTGTATAAAATTAAAGCATACAAAACTTTACCTATCATAAGTAATGGGTATTTGGTATTTCTGATTTTACAGACAAAATACTGTTACAGCTATATGCGACTAGGAAGTGTCTCGAAGACACCTGTGGGCAAAGTACATCCTGCGGGTCAGTTGTAACCGGCCCTTGAGGTAAAAAATAAATGAATCAATGTTCGCCATATTCCAGTTTGTTTGGTGCCGTTTTTTCTTACATTTCATTATTTGTGCCGTTAGATGGCACATGAATGCTTTACCACAGTGGTTCCAAACTTTGCATCGCGCCACCTTGGGGAGGCACCATTGTTGGTCAGAGGTGTCGCAGGTATCGCCAGTCGAAGAAAGATTTATTACAAGCAAAACCCGCTGTTCATGCACACAATGTATGAGTAGCACGCTACCTAGCGGATTTGAAAATACTAGATTGTGTCAAATGACACTGGCCACGAGAATCTGAAGTCTATAAGCAGCATACCAGTTGACCAGAGCTTTGGTGTTTCTATGAGTGGTCATTTTGTGAGTTTTTTTGTTACAAAATCGCTATTTAGAGGTTTTTAAATATGAGTAAAAAGCGTGAAGGACATGGAGCCTAGTTCTAAAGAGAAACGGAAACCAAATACAGAAAGTATGATGGCAGTTTCTTGAATTTCTGTTTCACGTGCACAATTGTGGGCACTGAAGAATTTCCTCAGTGTGTTGTCTGCCGAGAGCATGCTTCCCAGTAAACTGAAACGTAATTTGGAAACTGTTCACAGCAGTTTGATAAGCAAGCCTCGTGAGTATTTTTCACGCAAGCTAAATGAATGAACAGAAAGCTTCTTTTTCTAACCAAGCTCCCTAGCAAAGTTCTTCTTTCATCATAGAAAGTTGCGCACCAAGTAGCACAATGCAAAAAAACTCATACTATTAGAGTACCAAGGAATAAGCAACACAGCTCTGTGAGTTCTGCTTCCTTTTGCAATTTCCTGTCTTTGTGAGGCTGAGTTTTCAGCACTTGCGGTTATCAAATCCAAGTTCAGATCAAGAGTCAATGGTGAGAAGGAGATGCACGTTGCCATTTCAAAAATACTACCCACTATTTTTGGTGAATTATGTTAATAATTTATTAAACAAGCCTACCTACACATTAAGAGGCACAAAAAAAGACATTGTATTTCTCCCCCTTCTATAAAAACATTCATGTAAAACTTTTACTTTTGCATTTTACAAAGATGCTGACTTTTTTTAAAGTCATTATTAACCAAAAAGTATTTTGGTTTTGAAAATGATTAAAAATAAAACAAAAAGGATCAACTGTTTTTATTTTGACACATCATTTCCTTTTCAAATTTATAATCTTTTGTAAAATATCTCACTGCCATAGAACTTATTTGTGAGAAAGGGGAGGCATGTGGAAAATTTGATAGGTCAAGGGAGGCACGGACCAAAAAATATTGGGAACCCCTGCTTTACCAATTTAATTCACCAATTAGAGTGGGTCCATCTTAGTGTGAGGGAACCTGAGCCAAAATGAGCGGATTGAAGAAGCGGAAAGTTGACAGTGAATGGAGAGTGTTCAACAAAGAATGGACAGCAAAATACTTTTTCACAGAGGTTGGAACAAAGGCTATATATGCAGTGTTGAAAGATTAAAATCTCAGCATTTTTGGCAGTTTAGAAACACACCACATAAGATCACATTAAGACCACAAAGAGAGAAGAAAAAGAACAGGACGAGAGGAAAAGAGGAGAAAGAAGGTCAGACCACAAGAGAGGAGTCAGGAAGAGTTGGAACTTAAGAGTTGGAGCCCCTACTTCATGATCATCCAAACAAACTCTGACTGGACCTACTGTAAGTGTTTGAACCTTGCTAGAGAGAACTTGCTGTTCTGTGTTTTTAGGGAACTTGTGTTTCCTCGGTCAAAAATACCTTGGTTAGAGACGTCTTTCCTGCTTAGGGTGCATTTAAAGAATAGATAGATAGGCTCCCATTTATTTTGTGGCACTCGGGTTTGCAGACAGATTCAACTGCAAGTCGTTTTCCATTTATTAAGAAAGGCAGCTTATATCTTATTTGGCCTCTGCAGGCATTTTTTTAAAAGATATTTGTACTTAGTAGAATTCTGGGGGGTTTTCTGGGTGATCTGAACATTAGACCTCTGGAATGACTTGTTTGTACATACTGTAAATATAGTAGCTCATGTGTTGTATGTTTTGTTGTGTATACTCTGTGTATTGTCATCATTAAATATTTTTAACCAAGTGTGCCTGAATTCACCCCCCAAAAAATTCACCTGCCTCTAATTATACAAGCCGCTCTGGTATATTCTGGAGAATCACTTACAAATTGGGGGTTATGAATATTTATTATACGTATTGCCTAAACCACTCTGTCAATTACTAATATTCACAATTCAGGTAATCAACTATTTGTAACAATACAAACGGTCTTAGTATGCTTAACACGGCCAGCCATTTAACACAGTTAAACTCAGTCCTACCAAACACCTGAACTAAGAAATCTTAAAATATCTGAAGATAGCCCTAAAAGTAACAAGAGATACAATGGATGTTTAACATGCTTAATATATCCTAAGTTTATTATTGTAAGTCACATTGAAGATTATATTTAATTTCATATTGCACACAAACATTTTTAAAGTACTTTCAGGAGTCAGTTCTTTATATAAAGCTTTGAGATCCAATTTAAACAAAAATGATTTTTCTATTTACACTTTAAAGACTAAATTTCTTATTATGTTTATTAAGATTAAGGTAGTGTTTTAGAACATAAGAAAAAATACAAACACAATGAGGCCATGTGGGCCATCTAGCCTATTTTTTTAAATTAGGGCGCTAGCTAGCATACCGAAGGTCTGGTACAACTGATTCTTGAAAGAAACCAGGATTGGCTTCAACATGGCTGAATTACTTACTCCACATTTGCCCAATGTTTTGTGTATAGTAGTTACGAAGGCCACAACTTTGCACATTATGGAAAATTTTAGTTCTTAATGTAATGTAAAACTGAATTTTAAAGAACACTTGTCAACCCAAATATAATCCACACAGACATGGGAACCCACTTGATCAACCACCGCAGTGCAGTACTCGGGCTAGCTGGCTTATAACAGCCGCACTAAATGGCAGACAAATGGAAGAGAGATTCTGAACACCAGGTCAAGTAACCATTAATAAATCATTTTTGTACATCAAATGTTTTAGGCTGTCCATAATCGACTGATGTAATGTACTGCATTTCCATTTGTTTCTTTCAGCGCCGGTTTGTTTCTGCAGTGAGGCCCTTAGCCGTGTACGTTCAATACGTAAAATCCAGAGCAATGTAAAGTTAACATTATTTATACCGATGCACATCGTCACAAAACGCAAGAGGACAAAATATGCGGCTAAAAAACTGCAAGCGAATAGAATACTAAAACGAAACGGAAGAGAAAGAATACATATGTTGTCATTCACTATAGCAAATACAAATCAGTTTGCACTTACTTCTCATATTTTGTTGCCAACTCATCCAATGTAGATGCGCACATTTCACTACACTGGAGTAACTCCATTTCATTGGCCTGGTATCACTTTTACACAAAACGCCAAACATTCAAGTTCCACACTACACAAAATCTACTAGCTTCCCCCACCATAAAAGCAGAATATCAAAAGAAGTCACTCTAAGCGCGCCAGCACCAACATCAAAAGCTGTAGCCAATCAAAGTTCCTGCCTTTGAAATTTGAAGAAATTATGCAGTGAAACGTCCAATGACTTTCTCGCTCAAACAAGGAAGCAGGCCTCTGTTATCTGAGTATCCGCTTATGTAGTTTGACTTTGTTACAAACCATGGAATCATATTTGACACGCGTATTTCTATCTCATTAATTACACAATAATGAACTGGGAGCCAGTTTCATTGTAATATATTAAATACCCTATAAAACAGTCTATTCTAGCTGGCAACATTAAAAAAATTGCGAAACTCGTCTGATTTTAAAACTTAAAAAATATATATTTGATGGGAGGGGGTAAACCCGGAAAGACTGGACACACCCAATAACTAAACAGATTTTATTATTTCTTACATTGGCCTATTTTTATTAATTTCTGCACTATTACCTAAAATAACAATAGTACAAATTCTAGGGAAAAGGAGTCAAAATATTGTTCACCATAGATGTTTAAGTCCTAATGCCTTTGTCCCAGTATTTAAAAGTAATAGGTACAGATATACTTAATTGAAATATAATAGTTTTGTCCTATGGCACATCTGCAACAATAGTGAGAAAGAGTAAGAAGTAAGAAATATATTTTACACTGCTGGATTAGTATTGTAGAGGGGATAAAACTTTTCCTGAGTATATTAACTATTACACCTGGGGACAGAGAGGCATCCTTCAACTGTGAGGAGTGTAAATTCACAATGCACAGGGTGAGGCTCACACTAAAACCCCTTAGACCAGTGGTTCTCAACCTTTTTATCACCTTATCTGAGTGCATAATAGCTATTATAATATGTATATATTATTGTAGTATTTTCAGATTCGGTGAGGACGGACACAGTGACTCAGACACTCGTTGGCTGAAAAAAAGCGCTTTATTTTTCGGCACAGCCAGCACAGCACCCCCGCGCCCCAGAAAGAGAGTGAGAGTGTGAGAGAGAACGAGCAAGCTCCAGAGAGAGCAAGAGAGAGAGCAACACACTGGGGTATATTCGGGGAAGTTACACAGGGATAGGGTGGAAATTGGGTACAAGTATAACAGGGCTCCCAAACCAGGGAACTATTTAAAAGAATCCGGTAGATTTCCCCAAACTGTAAGCCTGTTTTGCAATGGGTTAGCTGCACTGGTCAGTGGCTTTCCTAGTCCCAGCCCTGACCAATACTACTCCCGTCCTGCCCCTCGCCACGTACCCCAGCCAGGCACTCTTCAGCCGCAGCGCCAGGCGAATGGGCTACACTGCCCTCACCTGAGACGTCTGGCGTCCCGCCAGCATCAAATAGCCCGCTTACGTCCAGCACACAATCCTACAGCCTCTGCGGCACCCGGTGAGTGCACCCGCTGCATTGAGGTGGAGTCTGGCAGTCCGCCCCATCAGCCCCTACTGGCCCAGTGAAATCTGGAACTGGCTGCTTCCCGGGATACTCCGCGCCCTCCTGTTCCAGCACCTCCTCGCGAGTCCTGAAGGGAGCCAGGTGGTCTCAGTGCAGGACCACCACCCTCCCTTGCTTCCAGAACCAGACATGGAAGCAGATCTCCCCCACAACCTCCATGACCTTCCCCTTGTCCTTCCCAGACCAGAGTCAGCTTCGGGTTGTAGACCCAGACGAGGTCCCTGGGTCTAAAAGGGGTCCCCCTGCAGCGCAGATCGTAGTACTGCTTCTGCCGCACCCCTGCCTGAGTCAGGCAGATTCTGGCGAAGCTGTGTACTCGCAGCATCAGCTGCTGCAGGTCCCACTCGTAATCCGGCCCGGCTGGCTGTGCCAGCACTCCTCCAGGCAGAAAAATGAAAGACCAGGACAGGAGCCCCCGGAAGGCCGCCTCACAGTCCGCATCTCACACAAAACGATGCCCTTTCTCCGTGAAGTGGTGCAGCGGGGCAGCGAGTCCCAGACGAACCTCCGGTAATAAGACGCTAACCCCAGGAAACTACAGAGCTCTGCCACTGTGCGGGGCACTGGCCAGTTGCGCACCACTTCGACCTTCCCCAGGCCCATGGCTACCCCTCGTGGCTCGACCACATGCCCCAGGAAAGTGACCGCCACAGGAGCTCGCATATTCTGCGGTTGAGCCTCAACCCGGCCCGCCAAATGCAAGCCAGCACTAACCGGAGGTTCGCCAGGCCATGCTCTAAGTACACCTAGCACTTGCAACAGGGAATCAACGCCAGCATTCGCTCCATCAACCGCTCAAACATCACCGGGGCATGACTGTGAACTGCCAGAGCCCTTGGCCGATGGAGAAGGCTGTCTTTGGGCAAGTCTCAGGGGTGAGCGGAACCTGCCAGTAACCACAGCGGAGATCAAGCGAGCTGAACCAGGTAGACCCGGAAATGTAGTCCAGCACATCATCCATCCGGGGCAGCAGATAGGAGTCCTTCCGGGTGACCTCGTTCAGCTTCTTGTAGTTCACACAAAACCTCCACGACCTGTCCTTCTTCCGGACTAAAATGACCGGGGAAGACCACAGACTCACAGAGGGATCGATCACTCCCCCCATGGCCATCTCCCAAACCTTCTGCTCTGTGGCTGCACGTTTGACGTAGGCCATCAGCCGGGGTGGAACATGAATGGGCCGCGCATCCCCTATGTTGATCTCGTGCTGTGTGAGAGCCGTGCAGGTGCTGTTCTCATCCCTCGTGAACAGATCTTCATTCTCAGCAAGGAGAGACCGCAGCCGCCATTGCTGGTCTCGAGTGAGGCCCTTGATGCTACGCTACAGCAGCTTCCCCACAGCACGGCTTATCTCCCTGTCAGGCTTGGCCCCTGCATTCCCCTCAGCGGCTACCCCATCAACCACCTGGTCGGCCGCCCGGGAGTCAGCCCCGGCACGCTCACCCTGACACCCGCGGCGCCGACAGACCCCGGTGACGCCCATTGCTGCCGCCTCCGCTTCCCGCTCCAGTCAACCCATGCACCCCGGACACCTCCCGCCCTGCCCGTCACGAGATGGATTCATTCCCCCTGCCCCATCAACTCCCGCTGGCCCAAGTCAAGGTACCCACCCACCTGCTGCAACCAGTTCAACCCCAGGATACAGTCCTCAAAGATTGGGTCGAGGTAGAAGGGGTGTTTTATACTCGCAGTGCCAAACTGCATGGTTGAGCACCCGCTTGCTGAGGACCTCTGCACACTGTCCTGTCACCGTCCTCAGGTGCAGGCTGGTGGTTTCCCATCCTGGGGGTCTGGCTGCCTCGGTGCCTGGCAGGACATCAAGCCACAGCAGGGTGATGGTCGAGCCGGTGTTGACCAGGGCCTGGCAGGGTCAGCCCTCGATGAGGCAGGGAAGAAATAAATCCCAGTTGTGGCCAACCTTTCCTACGGCAGCAGATGGGGTGAAACGCTCTCCCCACAACAGTGTCAGATGACCCACCGTCGTCGCTCCCACACTGGCAGTCTCCTCCTCCCTGTCTGATTTCCCGGGTGCTGCCTCTGCTGCACAGCAGGTAGAGCCCCTCTGGTGGTCCACGCCGGTCTCCTCGAACACGGCATTAACCTCCTTAGCCAGAGCCAGGGCCTGCTCCAAGGAGACCGGCGTGGCCAGCATCACGTGGCGCTGCACCTCAGCCGGCACTATGACCCGGAGGAATGCCTGGAGTGCTATCTCCCCATGGGCCTCCTCCGGGAGAGTAGGGTTACCCTGGTGGGCTAAGTAGACCACATCTGCGATGACCAGCCCCAGTGGCTCTCCCACTAGGTGGCGGCATTGGGCCAATCTCGTCCGCAGCAGTCCCGGCGCCTCCCCTCTCCCACGATACATCCAGCAGCGCCTGGCAGGCTTTCCTCTCCAGGACCGCTGCAAGGAGACCAGCCATTTGCCCAGGCCGCCATCTGGAACTGGACCTCAAAAAGTTCCCATGGAACCTCCCCATTATATCAGCTCGCTCGCCCCGGCACTGGCTGGTGCAGGGGTGGCTGGCTGGACCCTGCTGATCTGGCGTCACATGGACTGAGGCGACACAGGATAAGGTCCTCCTCTGCCGTGAAGGCCACCGTTGGGTAGCCCTGATAAGGGCTGTAGCCACCAGTGTCCCTGAGGGGCCGTTCAGGCCCCTGACAGTTGCTGCTCACCCCCAAAAGGCACTTTAGGGGGTCACTCAGCTGCTGGGGGAACAGGCGCTTCTCTGAGTCCATCATCCCACAGCTAACACCAATGTAGCGCTTTCAGGTTCACGTGGGTATGCACCCTCGCTACTGCCACCTCAGGAAAGCCACCCCACCACTGGGGATTCGAACCCCAGCCTCCAGCATCACTCAACAGGGAACCAGCCAGCTGAGCTAGAGGGAGATCTTTATTTAAAATTTACAGAATTAATGATAAACTTTGCCTGAAACACTGGCCTGTGGTATATATTTTTTCTCATTCTCCTTGTCTTCCTCAGGATCACTGATGTGCAGTGACCATGAGATGGATTCCTGGAAGTAGTATAAAGCGACAGGTTTAACATAACTATTAAAACAAAAATGTGGCGGTACCTGACACACAAAAACACCTTTCGTTATATCTACGTCCTATCTGATCTTATTTACTCTTATAATCATAGTTACCACACGACTATTAAATGAACCCCTGAAAAGGGCTGAAAAGGGGGCGGGACATCCTCCCACCACGGACTCCCATTGGCTGAAAAGGGGGGTGTGGCACCTGTCAAAAAGTTTGATGAAAGGTATCGCTTTATACTACTCCTGGACATAGCACTGCAGCAGAATGGAATGTTATTCACACAGTGACTCCAATAATCTCTGACATTATGGGTTGTTAAGGTTGATATTTAACATTTTATTTATTGATACAGGGAGCCACTTGTACTTTTCCCCTCGGATTTCCCCTTTTCAACATTTTTATTTATGTTGGTACACAGTCTGCAGACAACATTCATTCTGAAAAGGAAGGAATATTTCTTTGAGGTGTCTAGTTGTGCTCAGGTGTCTGTGCTGGAAAGATCCTGAACAGCACAGGTTCCACATCTTCTGTAACACTCGTCCACCTGTCCTGGGACTTGAGGCTGTGGGGGTGCATGTGGGTGTGGGGAGCTATAGGAGGCATGGTTATTGATTACCTGCTCTTTGCCATGGAAACTTCAG